GTGTGTGTGTGTGTGTGTGTGTTATTGTGTGTAGTAGTCGTGTGTGTGTGTGTGTGTGTGTGTGTGTGTGTTTTGTGCGTGAAGCATTTCGTCAAGCGCTTGAAGACTTCGACATACCAAAAATAACAAAGCCACAAACAAGGCAGACATTTCATAAGCAATCCTGCAGTACCGGTGCGTGGTAAAATGAAGTAAGCGTCATGGAATAGAGATCCTTTTCGTATTCGAACCACGAGACATACCATGAAGTAGGGGCTGGCTGTGCGGGGCGATTGAAATTGCTGTTGTGCATGATTGCGACCAAGTCTTTAAGAAACTAAGCAAAGATGTATTCCATTGAAGGTATGGTTGTAAATATATATTAAATAGCGAGCTTCGGCCTGAACTCGGCTGTGTATGCATCTGAACCCGTTCAAAACTCCTTCTAAACGCCTTAAGAAATGGATAGATCCGCAAGACCATGGACATTCAATCGAAGATGGATATATTTGCTTTTCAACAATATAAACACATAGCAAAGTAGGAACCGTGGTAGGATATGACTATATATCTGTATACACATACGTACAGTGATCTATATTTATTTATATATATTTATAGATGACGTATTTTACGAAAATATACCCCCTCTGAACTGTCACCAGGCATCAGCCATCAGAGTTGGAGAGGTCTCACTCCCTCTGGGGGGGTCTGTGAGGCGTGAGCCCTGAATAGACTGGAGCCCCCCTGGCCGGCCCTGAGGTCTCAAGTCTTCAACTGATAGTCTGAAACCAGAAACTCAACTGAAAGCCTTACGAGAGCGGTTGCAGGTATTTTCCTGTGAAACCAGTACCGAACTTGCAATATATATCACATCACGGCGTCATATTGTTGGTCCCGGAGCGACCCAAAGTCCCAGACTCCCGTTAAGCCGCCCATATTCATGTCAATATCATTGGACAATATGTATCTGTATTACCAAAATGTTATAAAATATTACCCTGCGGGCGGGGCCTGAAGGCTGAGGGCTGAGAGCCTTGATGAGCCCTGAGGCTGTGTGTTTATTTTTTTAAGTATTTCATAGCCTCCCTAATCGCACGGCCACTGGATTTGAGTCTGCGCTAAATTTACGATTTCCGCTAAGTCGAAGAAACCTGATTTCTGCTCAAGACCCAAATCCAGAGAGCCATGCTAATAGAACTTGACAATCCTTGTACAGGCAAAATCTTTTAGGGTTTCAAGTCAAACAACCCCCCTAAAACCACATAGATATGTTACAAGTCGCATAGCCTTCAAAAAAAAAAAACAGAGAAGCTCGACTCGTCCGTGGCTCCGTGCTCCCTTATTTTCCAAAAACAAAAAATTACAAATAAATATTTCATCTCCTTCGGATATCGTCAGTCTTCACTCTTTCAGACTGTGTCGTAGAGTGTGGACTTTTAAGGTGTGGAGTTGTGGACTGTGAAGATGGAGAGGTAACAATCAACTGGATATTATAAATATCACATTCCTCAGCTTTCGACTCACATTTGGATTAACCCACATTGATCATAAATAGCCTTCCACACTCTCGAGTTATTCCACCACATTCCCCTCTGATTTTTCATTAATATCTTGTGCTACGTTTATCAGTTCTATTTGCATATTTTCGTGAACGTCTCTACTTTGTCTTTGGCTTTGGCTGATACTGTAACACACTGAGCAATTGCTTGTTCATACGTGTTCATCTCGAAACTTAGTCGATGCGCTTGTGTGTCTGTGTCTGTGTCTGTGTATGTGTCTCTGTGTCTGTGTGTCTGTGTGCGTGTGTGTGTCCGTCTGTGTTTGTGTCTATGTCTGTGTCTGTGTCTGTATGTGTGTGCGTGTGTGTATGTGTCTGTCTGTGTTTGTGTCTGTGTCTGTGTCTGTATCTGTGTCTATGCCTGTGTCTGTGTCTGTGTCTGTATCTATTTCTGTTTCTGTGTATGTTTCTCTGTGTGCAAATACAGACGAAAAGTCCGCTCGCCTAGAAAGATGGATACGTTTGCGACTCATCGGGGCTAAAAACTAGGGCTATAAATATTAAATACACAAATCAGCAGATATGTGTAGAAACTCCAAGCGCTGCGGTCCAAGAGTGTTCATTGAATGTTAACCTTCTTCGAAACTCACCAAAATTATATTCTCAACGAGAAGCCACTAAAATCTTTACATTCAAGTAAATTGAATAAATGGTTAGGTGCTGTATACCGTCGTATATCCGTAGATCCAGTCGTACAGTAGTACATTTCGATTTACAGAAATATTTACTAGAGCAAGAGACCTAAGAACACATTAGAGGATAGTTGGAATGCTTCTTTAACTAATAGATGCACGGCAGCACGACTCACGACTCACGAGTCGCGATTCTCTGGAAGTCTGTCCCTCGCTTTCTATTTATAAGTTTTATATAAATAAACACAGCCCTACTTGCTTTGGTAATTGGTAATATTTTTCACACAAAACCCGGGAGGTTTCCGAATTCCGACTTTCCGGAGGGTTGTGCTATTTAAAAATCATGTGATGCGTGGGATGTTTTTAATTTATACGAACCGCCTTTTGCGACAGTATTAAATTTGACCTGTTTTATATTCATCCTACCAAATACGGTAATTTTTTTTTGAAATATTTGGTGTTAAAAATAAAAATATGATGATGTATATATGTAAATAACTAAATATACAAAAGATCTTGACTTCATCTTGGTATAAAATACATACATCATACAATAGTTAGACTCATCAGCTGTAAAAAAATATTCTCGTCGTAGTTCTACAATTTTAACTATAGTATATATTCAAAGGTACGCTATATTCAAAGTCTCACTTTCGTCTAATACAAAATTTGTATATAACTACACCTCTTGTCATTTACTTTATTTTGGAGAAACATGATTGAGTTTGTGAACAGCCATGTATTTGGTCACGAGTGGTCCAACATCACACAGGCCAACTGGCAGAAGTATCCCAACGAACATAGCCCCCATATTAATTCAGTAGACATCGTTGAACGCAAAGTCACCGGTCCTGGTATTCTGGTGAGTTAATTCTAAATTCCTGGAATGTGTGATCCTATATTTTGCATTGTATACATTTATATATATATGTGTGTGTGTGTGTGTGTGTGTGTGTGTGTGTGTGTGTGTTTGTGTGTTGTGTGTGTGTATGTATGTATGTATGTATGTGTGTGTATAAATATATATATGTATATATGTGTGTGTGTGTGTGTGTGTGTGTGTACGTGTATGTGTATAGTTGTCTTCTATATATATATATATACATGTATATATTTATATATACATATATATATATATATATGTATATATGTATGTATGTATATATATGTAATTATATTTGTATACCAAATATATATATGTATATATATATATATATATATATATATAGTATATGTATGTAAAAATGTTTGTGTGTGTGTCTGTCTGTTTATGTTTGTGTGTTTTTGTGCGTTAATTTCTTTATATAAATATATATATATGTCTATATATATATATATATGTGTGTGTGTGTGTATGTATATGTGTTTGTGTTTGTGTCTGTATCTGTGTCTGTGTCTGTATTTATCTATGGATATATCTGTGTCTGTATGTATCTCTGTGACTGTGTGACTGTCCGTCTTTTCTTTGTTCATCTGCTAAAGCCGTTTTCCTGTAGATATATATATATATATATATATATAATTTGTATGCTATTTGTAAGTTATATGTATATATATCTATTTCTATTTCTATTTAAATATCTATGTTCTATTTATATTTCTATTTATAGATATATAAATCTGTATCTATATCTATATAAACATGTCTATGTATATTCACTCACATGTTATCTCACATCCATCTCAGGATACTGTCCGGCTCATTGGATGCAAGCAACAGGTTCCCTACTTATTGCGACGCCTGGTTGGTAGTGCAGACGACGAAGCGTATGTCTACGAAACATCGAAGGTTGATGTGCCCAACAGAACCATGAAGTTGGTTTCAAGGTGAGTGTGTACTCATGTCTTGTTTTAATGCAACATGTACTACAACTTGCGATACCTGCTCCTCTACCCTATACAATATATGGAATAGTGCTTGTAGTAGGCTATGTTATGAGTTTACGCTCGCTCCAGGGTATGTAAGGCGTTTGTGTGCTTCTGCTTCGGTTCATACATGCTTTGTGAACACGCATCAGTCTTCCAGATTCCCAGCATTCCCATGGACATACGGAACAAATGGGATGCCAGATAGTCCCGCTGTAGGCGGTGGTTCCGAACTGCTCAGCGACATTATATGTCACTCAGTTATATCATATCAAACAGAGCTCTCACTCTATTCCCAAGGAACGCTATAACATCCTAGCCAGCTGTATGTGGAAAAAATCGGCTCTACTCGGTTGTGTTAGTACTGACACGTGTACCGTTGCAGAATACATCCACACACACAGTCCCTCAAGTACTTGGGATTTAGGACGTAAACACTAAAATCTTAAAAGTATAACACTCCACTGTGTCCGTGTATGCTCAATATCCTAATTTTCAGCTATGCTTTGCAACCACGTCCTACCAATTTTCTCGCCGTGTGCAAGCGTGCGTGTGACAATGCTGCATCAGTTATGGGCAGTGCAACGTATTCAAATCACTCTACTAGAGCCCTGAAGCACACCAAAGATACACGCGTTATTCTGTACCCATATCCTCATATTCTAATGGCTTCTGCTATACCACTCCACTATACACGCGACTACCGATCTTAGGACACACTCCTGAGTTGGTTATTGATGGGTGGAGCATTGTGCTGTTCCCATATTGTTTGCGTCATGTACGTACGTATGTATCTGTACATAGTCGCTTGCCTCTTGTATAGCGCGGCTGAACGTATGCGATCCCAACCACTCACTTCTACTTCTGAACTACGGTCACTCAACCGTATTCGATACTTTGGCCTTTTCTCTGACTGTAGAGATGTGGCCTTCAGCTTTGCAGATCGAATGTAACTGATGTTCTGACTTTTCTTATCATTGCTTTATCTGATGTTTGGAACCTATCGGTTATTGCCTATGTCCGGTAGTTTTAACGCTATCGGTAGGTGCGTATCTCCGATACTTGTAACTTTATCAGTAGTTGCGTATGTCTAATCATTTGCACTTTATCAATATCTACAGAAACGTGACCTTCAGCAAACTGGTGACTGTGGACGAAACCTGCACGTACACGCCCAACCCCATTGATGAAAGCACCACACTATTCGAGCAGCGCGTGAGAATCACAGCCATCGGAGTGCCGGGTTGGATAGTGAATAGTGTAGAGGCGGTCATGGCTGACAATTATAAGAAGACTGCTTCCAAAGGTGTGTATGTTGTCCCAATACCGTGTGCATTTGTACGAAGAGTTAGAGTGCACTTGCACTACCATCTAGTTAACCACGCCTGCATAGACTTGTGCATATAGTATTGCGAAGATTTTCATAGATGGTGCTCGTACGAATGTATGTTGCTTACAGGATAGTGCTTGCTGCACTGACTGAGATTTTCAACCACGTAGCTATATATATTATAATGTTTATATTATTTATATATGTATGTATGTATCTGTGAGTGTATGCATGTATATGTATATATATATATATATATATATATATACAGTCGTACAGCATCAAAGCTTATTGAGCTTGGATTCACCCAAGTACACTCCTTCGCTCCCAGGACGCAACGCGCTGAATGAGGTGTGTGACATGGTGGTGCTGTCTCCGTTCTCTGTGGTCGAGCATATGATGGAGGAAGCAAGAGATGAGATGCAGAAGATGACCTCAGACTTCAGCCGGCGTGCGTCTGAGAGGCTCAGCTCGGTGTTTGATTGGGATAGCAAACCCGGCAAGAGCGGGCAACCCGAGAGTGCGGAGGCGGATACAAAAGAGGAAAGGAAGTAGATGCTGGGGTTAATTTTAGCGACAGAACAAGCAGCCTTTTCTTCCATATGCTTGTGTTGAAGTGCTGTGCCTGGACAGTCACACGGTCACAGTCACACCACGCCAAACATGTCAGTTGCACGGTATACGCCTGTCATGCGGGGTGTCTCGATATTGTACTATCGTAGCTTAATTTGCCCATTTTATGTGTAAGACACATCCGCAATCATGATAGGGCGACATCGAAATCATCATATATACCATATACTTACAGAAGCATTATATATTACATATACTTTCAGAAGCATCTTATATTCCATATACTTATCGCGCCTGTTTCTCCGCACATCACTTACAAGTGTGACTCGTGAACAGCCACTCATCCGGCGTGCTGTGGAAGTTTAACTGCGCGATACTCCAGGGTTTTAAGGTTTTATGCTATACTCCGGGCTCGCACGAGCAGTTCTAGCGGTACAACTACCACCTCAGTGCTTGCAGCATCTCAGCGCTAAGGTGGGTGGCACTGTAATATCTCGACCAACTCAGCCACCCGCCAGTGTTTGCACTGAAGCGGTGACTCTACCATTCTAGCAGATGTTAAAGTGTGAAAGTAAGACAGCTGAGCTGTTGTAAGATCTCAATCAGATGTCTTCACACCGCCTGTGATAAAATCGTATAATGGGCTCCCTTCGAGATAGTCATGTGGGAAGTGTACAGCAATGAGTATCCAGCACGCGAGTGAATATATCCGAGTGGCCTTTGCTTCCTGCCCTCGGCCTGAGAGTTGATTTAAATCACACAGTGGAGCGTATGTAAATTGTACGATAGCACCTAAATAAAAGAAAGTGTGTCTTTGGTCTGATTTTTCGGCTACAAATGGTTCAATTCGCTGTTTTTGTTTTTGTTTTACCCGCTTGACATCTGTGAAAAATGTTATCATAGTGGGTATCAAAATCTGAAATTAGTAGGGCAATTCCCTTCGAGATAAAATAATCATAGTCCGTATACATATCACAGAATAACGACTACAATACTGAAATAAGTACGACAGGCACACGTGTGATTGGTAAAATGTATCACTCCGGGCGTCTGTTTTCTGCTACCTGACAACTAAAAATTGAAGTTTCTGTGAATTTCCTTCAGATATTTCAAATGGCCACAAATATTTAATTTTATCGTGAATTGAGCTCCACCATTTATTACATTTTAGTTGTGATTCCGTCGGTTCGTTTTGTTCATTTGGGATACAGTCTGTTTGAAGGCTTTAAAACTGCCTAATTTACCAACGCCAAAATCAAAATTATGTGTGCGAATACTACTGTATACTACGTTCGAATACCGGTATTGTTGTGGAAATATGTCCACTCTCCCATTCATTTGACATTTCTTTGAATTCTGTCGAGGTGCGCTGTTTTGTAACTATTCGCCGATTGGCCATCCGACAAAACAATTAGTTCTCCGCTGCAAAGCCGAGATGTAGTGCGTTTCTTACGTGATAGAAGTGGGTAGACTAATCAGCGGGCAACTTAGCAGTTCAGGGCAGACTCTGATAAACATCAGATATGTTCTTCCCTGCTCAATAAATTATCTCTGTGTTGTGCATATGTGTGTCGTCTCTGCTGAAAGTGTCTAAAAGATATTGATAAACTATTGTATTGCAAATATACCTGACCCTGGTCCGTCTTACGGCTTGTAAGCAAAATATACTCAGATGGAAAGGAATCAATCACCTCCTTGAGTTCTGGATTTGAAGGATATATCTACCACAACTGGTTATCGCACCATCAATCACTTCGGTAGTTTGTCTTAGTCCGTAGTCCGAGTCACATATCAAAGCTATTGTATAGAAAACACATCTAGTCGGACCTTTTAATAAGCAACAAGACTCTCAGTTGCTGAAGCTGGTCGGTTTGTCTCAAAGAGAAAAGAAAAACTTATGATTTTACATCTGCGCATCAACTTATGTCACATATCAGTTGTTCCATACATGGTCAATTTCTACTTCTCGTACAACATTAATAGAGTCCATATCACGATTTATGGGATCGTTTTGGTGAGTGGCCATGGCTTGGTCTAGATCCTCAGAGACGCTAACACCATAATGTATATCTTTCACTACTGAAGCAACCATATTTTATATTTTGAGAACATCGATGAGGTTTGATACTGTCTGCTGAGCGAATGTTCTTAACGTTGTTTTCAACTTGAATATGTTATCTCATGATAGCTGCTATAATTAGTTATTCTGAAAAGGGCAAGTTTCATTTTAAAGTAAAGTATGTAGATACCCTTTGTAGGATAATAAGTAAATATTTGAACCAGTCAACCTAGTACTGGGTTGACTGTTTCAGTTATGTAACTTGTTTGCTACAAAACTAGAAAGTGCCGTGAGTACTTCTCTCACTCCGCACGATCTGCGACTGGGCGGATTTCCGTGAACCCTCCGCGCTGCGCAATAGTGCTAGCCTAATACCAGTTGATTGGCTCCCAGCTCGACATTTACCCAAGATAAGTTTTGGATGCGCGACCTTTCCGGTTTTGTAGTGATTTAAATTACTAAACCTACCATCCTAGTACTCTTGGCCGAAGGTTCAGATAAATTCACTCAGAAGCGGATCGTGCGGACTGAGATCAAAGTACTCGCGGCACTTTCCAGTTTTGTAGTAAACTAAATGACTAAACCAGCAAGTTTAGTACTAGATTGGTTGATTCAGTCATTTAATTTACTACACTTTCAATAAATCCAACATGTCGATAGATTCATTTGATCTATTCGCACTTTTAGCAAGTAGAATCATTACAGAGCTGTGCAAAAAGGATGCTTATCCACAAAAATCTGATGTACATCTTCTCTGTTCTTGTGCCTAACCCATACGTTGGGCTGTTGCATACCTTCAAATACAGAATCGATTTGATGTATACCTCTTGACAAATGATAAGAACAATATTTCTCGGAATTTTTATATGTTGGTCGTTTGCACTGACCCGATGAGAAAAAGGTCAGCACACAGAAGTAATCCGTGGAACAACAAGGGCACACACGATTATGAAAGTCATTCAGTCGAGCAACTTCGCAGCGAGTATAAGGCTATAGATATTATCTGAAGCCATATTAATACTTGCTACGAAATAGAAACACTTGCCCGGCTGATTGACCTTCATAATTGCGTAGCAGCAAAAAATCTTTTTTAGCTAGTCACCCTATAAACAAAGCAAAGCAGTTTGACTCGAGTATAAAGATTGTTACTCATATTAGTTACTAATAATAAAGGTTCTTCCAGAGGTACCAATATGAAAGATTCGTCCAGTGTGTTTAAATAGTTTCATTTGAGTTTACTAGTTTACCTATATGTACAATAGAGTAAGTTTTTATGTATTGTATAGTTATGTATAAGAGGTATGTCTTCGGTGTGTACTTGATATGAGTAAACATCGGTTGGAGATATTGATCCGCTTTCGATGGCAGAGAATCGAAGTAGGCACACGTAACAACGCGTACATCGCTGAGGGGTGGAGCTGGTTCGGCCGCGCCTAGGATGTGAAGGATGATTTGCGTCTGCCTGATATTGAGTGACTATGGATAAGATATCGAATAAGATTTGATATAAGGAATATCGGATGAAAAGAGTGTATAGATGCGAGTGCTTGAAAAAGGAAATTTTTAATGAAGTAAGTATTTGCTTCCCACGTCCTGTATATACTACCTTGAGCAGTATATGATAGCACTTTGGAGTGGGAAGTTTGGCGGGCATAAATTTACTGCTTAAATACTCGTAGAGTATTTATCCGGAGCGCATAATTGCTGCTGCTCATACAGTCTACTCCAAGTTTCTAATACTCTTGTTTCTAGAACTAGTGCAAGTTCCCGCCGTTTGGAAATGGGCTCGTTGGGAAACAAGCGTTGAAGATGCTATCGACTACTGACACCATCTTGATCGACCGAAATTCCTTTACTGATGCTTATTCGATACTCGTGAGTCCGGCGATGACATCGTCTGGTCTCGTAGGCTGCATAAACTCTGTGCCGAACCAGGGCGGAAAGCATGTCACTATACGTGCTGGTTGACGAGTGTTTTGTTGAAGCCAGCGCTATCGAAATACTTCGTATGTTTTACTAGAGCAGCCCGGCGCGCTGCAACGGTAAATATGTATCTAGGAATGTATTTGTTTGTAGGAATACGGCCTCTTGAAAGTCTAAAAAATCAAATTAAATGAGATTAGCATAGCCTCCCAAGTTGAACACTAGGAGGCCATGAAATATGACAGATACTTATCTGTATTTTTCAGTTTGAAATACAAGTACCTTTTTAAATAGCTTATATTCATAGCCCGAGTATTTGGTATAACTCAAATGGTTGGCTCTGTTTGGGACACTAGTAGATATATATAAATTTATCCGCGACGGTAGATATGTATCTACGAATGTATATGTCTGTAAAAATACGGCCTCTTGTCAGGCTAAAAAATAAAATCAAATGAGACTAGCATAGCCTCCAAAGTTGAACATTAGGAGACCATGAAATATGACAGGTGCTTATCTGTATTTTCCAATTTGAAATACAAGTTTCTTTTTAAATAGCTTATATTCATAGCCTGAGTATTTAGTATAACTCATATGCTTGGCTCTGTTTGTGACAATAGTAGATATGTTAAAATAAAACCACCGAAAAGAACAGTTTGATTGTATGTGCAGGTCGAGGTCTTCTGTGAATTACCTCAAAAGTTGCTTGTAAAGAAATTATGAACCCCTAATATATCACAGGGTCACAGATATATAGTAGTGTTGACAGTTGATCAAAATACACACACATACACTCATACAGAGGTACACAATGCCCAGCAATAGACGATATTGGCAGGCATGTATAGTTCGTTTTTATCTTTATGCACGATACACACATGCGATGACACACTGTAACATAAAATGTGTATGAACACCTCCACATAACCATGACAATACCATATTTTAATCTCTACAATAGCTTTACATTAAACTTTAAAGCAGTGTGTCTGCCCGTATAATTGAATCTATGGTAATAATACATGAATACAAATATTACAGCTATATATTGGATTCGTACTTTGTCAAACAATAATATCTCAAAAATAATAATCCCATACACAAGACTTAATTGTTACAATGTGTTCCAACATACAATTTCGAATTCTCTCTCAATGCTATCTGTCATAATTGTATTGTTGTAGTTGGTGTATTGTTCCATTCGATGACAATTAAATAGATACGATCGTGGGTTGGTAGCCTTCAAAGGAAACATTCCGCGCATGGTAAGGTTAAAGATTGCGCTTCTATTTAGATAGGATCGCTTTCTCTAGCGGTATAAGTGCCAACTACGAAGTCAAGTTGCATAAGTTTATTACATATGTACAGGTGCTTTTAAAAGAATATTCAAACAAGATTGAGTATGTATGTGCCGCCATTTTCATATTAGATAGGTCATTATTTACACCATTTCATCTATTCATCGTTCTCACACAGAATAAAAGTCATACCAGTGAAATGTCACATTCGTAGGATTATATGTGATAAATGATTAGCTTCCGGTAGCACGGCCTATGCCCAACGAACGATGACGTACTTTAGAATTCGATTCAAGCGTGTAGAATGCAGTCTCTTTATCTGAATAATATCCTCGTAATTCAAGCTGGCGGAAGTGCACGAATACTAACGAAATCTTGGACCTAAATGTGTCCTGCACTCGGAGATCGGAATAAGGAATAATTTTTTCTCGTTGTTTTTGTGTTTGTTTTAACACCGGGTTTCAACAAATAACCCGTAAATCAGATCCCAACGTAGTTTATTGTGCTCAACCGGATTGGAACGAAAACATACTAAACCCTAAAACCCTA